AAAATTTTGGCGCCGGAGCTTGCTTGGGTGCCGAGTTGAAATACCCGAACAGACGCACACACACACCAGGGTCATCACAATATGTGTTTTTGCATGTTATGCAAAAACGCATAAAAACTCAACATTCGCACACGAACACGAGCCTCGGAATCCGAGGTCACGAGCCTTGTTTTAGTGGCCGAGCCTTGTTTTAGTGGTTGTTGCCCGTTGGTGGATGGCTGGCCCGCCTTTTGCCGCCTCGTAAAGTGGACCAGCGGCGGGAATTGGTGTGTTATTAAGGTGTACGTTGGTGTTGGCAGTTCCGTGTTGCGGGCTTTTTTTTTTTTGGTTTGGGTTTTTTGCAGCATCAGCTTTGGCTGGTTGAAATCAGTGAAGGGTCGGTTGGGAGCGGATTATGGTCATCGGGGCAATGCATCCACGAAACCCGTACAAGGATAGGCCGGATTTCGCCACACTTGCTCACAAATACGCCGAATTTCGATCACATTGCTACATCGGCTCCAATGGAAAGGTATTGTGTGTTGCTTTTTCGATCAGCTGTTGTTTCATTAGCGCATTTGCTGTAGCCGCTGATTTATTGGGCAACTGCTCCATTCTTCTCTATTTTGAGCCTCTCTCATTTACATAATTCCAAATAGCCGTAGAGAGGGGTTTTCCCCCGTTGCATGTAATTCATTTCAACATAACTTATTCCTTCCTTTTAACCCTTACTTTTTACATAAATACACATCATCTAAAATTAAAATTAAAATTACATGTAATCCGGTTCAGCTTATCCATGTCTTTGAGAGATGTAGGTCATTGGGCATAAATTTTCTCCAAATTGAGCAATTTTCTGTACATTTTGTACTGTATAAAAGCAATACAAAACGCATATTGTCACGGGATTGTCTGTGTGTGTGTGTGTATGAGTGTGTGTCCGCAGCAACTTGTCCGCAATTCTCAACTCGGAAACCACAAAAGCTAGTAAGCTGAAAGTTTTGGGAAATGTTCCCCACCCAGGCGTGGCCCCGCAAATTTAAATTCAGCCTCTCCGTACGCGCGGGTGACACGTATGGTCCCGTGAAAGTTTTTTACGGGAGAGATTATTATCTTGGGAACCACGGAATCTAGGAGGCTGAAACTTTGGGGGACTGTTCCCTGCCCACGTGCAACCCCTCAAATTTTAATCGGTGGACGAAATTGCGCAAAACGCATGATCGCATCGGCTGCCCTGGTGCGCTCCGCTATTTGTTCAGTTTGTCTCCCAGTTGCTCCGATCGAACTCTTTCACGTAACCGCCATCACTAGCTGAAAAAGCTAATTTCATTGAAGGGGCGAGGCGGGAAGGACGAGGGAAAGGAAGAAGGGGGTAAGTAGCCAGGGAAACACGAAAGCTAGGAAGCTGAAATTTTAGGAAAATGTTCCTTAGTCGCATGTGACCCCCGTAAAGTTGAATGCAGCTCCCGCATACGCATTGGTCTCTGATACGGACAAGCGAAAGTTTTGTTGTGAAAATTATTAACTTGGGAACCAGAAAAGCTAGGAAGCTGAAATTTCAGAAAAGTGTTGCGTGCCTGCATATGAATTCAGCCCGCACACGTTTGGGTCTTACTCACCGAACACACGAAGGTTTTCGCGCAAAAATTATTAAATCGGAAACCACGCAGCTTTCTACACATATCAAACTGTAAAGCAGTGAACACTTCTAGCTGCAAGGTCCCTTTGAGCAAAATTGCAGAAAATGCGTGATCGCACCAGTTACTTTGATGCGTACGGCTATTTATTTGCTGTTAGTTAAAGCATCCAAGCAGATGCAGTATAACTTTTACTTAAAAAAAGTAGCAGAATATAAATGAATATAAAGATATTAGTGACAATATGGTAAAATTTAACAGCAGTGTTGAATTAAGATGTATATGACTTAATGAACCGAAATGTCTTATCTCATTCTTGCCTCCTTTCCTCATTCTTTCCTGCTTTCTGTATCCAATACCCCCTTCAACACATTGGTATTCAAGGTCAACTTGGTTGCTATAATCGGCATAACAAGATATATATTAGGGAAATCACTCAGATGAAGTTTTGGAATGATTCAGTCCATCAAGTCGCATACATCCCTGTTCAGTATTACAACATGGCTTCTTTAGTATGATGGTGTAGCAGATAAAATAGATGGGTGTTTAAAAGGGTAATGTAAAACCACACAGAGTAATAAAAAAAATAGATTTGAATATTTTGTGAAGTTATGAAAAAGGTTGTAACTACAGGGGAAGTAATAACAAATAGCAACGCGCACCAGACTAGCCGGTGCGATCATGCGTTTTGTGCAATTCAGCCCACCGAACG